ATTGCTTTAATCACAGGTCTTAAATTTTGTGGTGGCAGGACTCTGTCATACATTCTACATAATTTAATTTCCTTGCAGGATTTTGCTATCGAGGAAACATTTAGTCGTGCCCAGACATCTTCATTGCTTTCTGAGGCTCCCACTAACTAGCTGCTAGCATGCATGTGCTATCTAGAAAACTAGTGTAAATTTATCACTAGTTTGCTGAAGGATGTTTGTCTTAGCCTCTGGCTCATTTCTGTTGCCTCTCCATATGTCCATTCAGTGCAAAATAATTAAGCATTACTACGATGTAAAATATTTAGTTTTCTTTTGTACATTTGTGTCATGATACAGATCTTAAATTGTATTCATAATGGTCTTAAAAAGATCTTAAACCTACAGAAACTGTTTATTTATTATCAGATTGAGCTTCTGCTCCAGATTCACAGCCACATTCTGGGTTAAAGGATGAAAGCAGGACCTTCAGACTAGCAGTAAACACTGATCAACATTCACTTTGTCAGTCGTTGGCCCCTGCAAAGAGTGACGCAGAATTTCCCTCTACATAAACACATGAACACCAGACAGCAGACGCTGCAGAGAAGCTGCTGTTAGATGTTAACATCTGGAATGGTTGAACTGGAGACCTAAAATCTCTCCTCCAGGATGACTCTAGGTAGGTCATCAAGGAATCAGGGAATGATCTCTTCTGGATGTGTTTGGAAATATTTGAGATTTGTTTATCTTCCTGGGAGATTTTAAATTTAAGTTCAGAATATATTTTTTTAATTAGCTATAGACATCTTAAAACAAGAATTGCTACAAAAGTGCAAAGCAAATAAAAATGCACTATTTCCAAAGTAAACACGGGGATTAGAAATGTATAATTTCAGCAGTGAGATATAACAGCTCAAAAATGCATTTAAATAAGAGTAGAGTGAGTCAATCTTTAACTGTTCCTCTTTGTACAATCTTCAGATTGTACTGAGTCCTCTCCTGTGCTAACCTCTGAGGTCTTCTATAGGATGTAGATCTATAGACCGAGATGGTATTGGATGAACTCTGACTGTGTCTGATGACCCATTTGTCTTGATTTGGCCACACGCTGGGTCATTATGCTGCTGAAAGCCATAATTTTGATGGCTACAGTCTTTGTTCTCCTTGACCTGAATATTGTGTTTGATAACATTGACCATGTAGTTCTGATCTGTGTGCAGTGATGGCTGCCACAGCCCTACCATGTTCTGAATCTTACCTAACCAGTTGGAGTGTTTCCAGTCTAACTAGTTGATTTCTCCTCAGCTGCAGCTCAGATTTCTTTTGGAGTCCTCCAAGGCTCCGTCTTTGGTCCAATGCTGTTTTTTTTATTATATTTATTGCCACTGGGGATGATTTTTTTTTTATTCAATTTAATTAAAAACTACTTTAAGACCTACATGAATTGTTTAAGGAAATGTTCGCTTTCTTCTGTGCAGAGAAGTTCCAGATAATCTGTAGAGCTGTGTGGTTTTGAGGCAGTAGCCAGTTCTTTGTAATCAGTTTGACATGTCTGCCTTTCTTAAAGGGCAGGTTCTCTTGTCTTTCCCATCTTGAAGAGTGGTTAAAATAAGCAAGCCTCTGCGTCGTATTTAGGCCGGAAAGAAACAGAACACCATTGATGACAAAGTAGAAGTTGCTTGAAATTTGTATTCAGACAATCTAGAAAATATGCTTCAGTAAATTTTTTTAGTGATTATTGATGATTTTTCTTTTTTTTTTTTTTTTTTTTTTTTTTTTTTTAAATGTAGTTCATTTCAAAGTAGAGTTTTTGCATATGCTGACTGCTGCGTTTTTCTCCCAGCAGGCTTTGCCATCCAGGCGTACCGTGGAGCCCAGAAGCCGACTCCCATGGAGGTGATGAAGTCGCAGGCCACGCGGCTGGCTGACAACCCCCAGAGGGTGTCCCCGCCCAAAATGGAGATCCCCACGGTGGAGGGCCGGCGGCAGGGAGCGCGGCCACACAAGCTCAAACACCGAGACATGAACATCCTGACGCCGTCCGGCTTCTGAGACAATCGCCGTTAATACGACCAAGGTCCCACGACATGACAAAACCACCCTAGAGTCCCTCATTTTACTGTTCACATTCCCTTATTGTTCAGGTTCAACAGAAACATGAGTCTTACCGTTTCCAAAGAAATTCTTTTTGTGCTTGCTGCTCATTTGATGTTTATATTTTCTATATATCATTAATAAAATAAACTCCAGTCAGACTGAAAGCATTTTAAACCCCCCTAAGTTTTATTTATTTATTCAGGAGGAATTCAAAATTTATTGAAATCCATTGAGTTTGTAACTTCATGTGAGAATTGTGACCATCTATCATAACTGTAACGTCAAACAAGTGGGTAGCTGAACTCCAGCTGAAGGATTTTCAGAACCAGAGCTCTAAAGTTCAGCCGTTCGGCAGCTCAGACTGGGTTCATGCTAGAACATATAGCTTCAGTTTGCTAATCTGTAAAAATAATGTTAAATATTTTCTTCTCTCATGTTTTTGGTTTATGTCGCCTTGTTTATTATGTTGATCATTTTTAACCAGCTTTTTTTGTTTGTTTTACAAAAAATAGCTAGCATGAAAAACATTGTTTCACCTTAGGATTAATTCACCCTCGTTTCATCCCTTCCTGCTTCACACTCATGTACATTACTCATTTTTGGTTGTTTATATTTTTAGTCAAGTATTTTCATGAATAATGCAGATAAATGTGCATAAAAAGTCAAATCACATGTAAAATGTAATCTAATTCCGCTTTATTTCATCTTATTTCCATTAATCCTTATGAAATATGACATCAATGCTCCGATCAAACCAAAATAACTCAGAGAAACTTTTTATGTTGGATGTTATTTGAGTCACATTTCCTGAGCATTAGAGCCGTTGCAGATGAAAGATGAAATGAAAGACATAATGTGGCCAAACTCAGAAATTCTTATATTATCTTCACATATTTATGAGAAAACAATTAGATATTCTCCAATGTTGAATGTAGAATGCTAACACAGGAAAAAAATTAAGTAATTCTACACGATTAAGGCATAAATTGTGATAATTAAGCTGATGTATTTGCTGACTTTATGTAATCAGACATATGCTACAGAAAATGCAACAATTGTACATTTTTCCTGTATGTGAACATCTCCAGTGTTCAGACTCAATGCAGCTTCCCTCATACTGTAGAGTTTGTAGTTTTCTGAGCTCAAACTTCTTGTAAAGAAATTTGAAATTTTCACAAATTGAACTCACTTTTCTCCATTATTTTTACTGACGACTGCATTTGAAGGATTTTGTTTTTTACGTTTTTTGGACTTTAAAAACTGCTGTGTGTATTTTCTGCATCTCACAGAAACCTTGTCACTTATTTTATATATATATATATTTAAACACTTCAAATATTTTCTCCCTAAATAACAAACTATGGCCTTACTGCCAAGTTATCTTAATTTAGGCAAGTTATTTGCTGTGCTGCCTGGTTTGCAGATGATGGCTAACATAATATATAAAAGTTTCTGTAAGATTACACGTGCAAAGCATCTTCATTAAGCACTTTTGACCATAAAGTGAACCTTTTTTCTTCTTATTACTATTTTCTGGTAATAAAATAAAATAAATCCTGAAAGTTTACCACTTGTAACTGCTGTGGTGATATTCAGATGCTGTCATTCTGTGTGGTCACTAACTGTTGATATTTGATGTACTTTCCATTTGTTAAAGATGAGTCTATAGTACTTGTGTTTACAGGTGCTCAGTGGTCAGTGTGATACTCTCCCCCTTTAATCAGACTGAAGCATCAGTTTAATGTTCTGTCTGTAGGCATGACTCAGTCCTGATAGAAAGTTTCTGTCAGTTCAGTGATTTTTATTTTATATTTCTTTTCGATTTTTTTTCTTTTTTACTGTCTGTACAGTTTAGTTCACGTTGCTGGCACAGTTTGACAATAAATATTTCATCCTCTGTGGAAAATAAAAAAGTCTCAGCTTCATTGTTTTTGGTTTAAAAAAAATTATTTTAACAAATTTCATTGGCACTTCATGACAAAGATAATTTCCACGTTGATCACAGTAGATCTCATCCTCCTGTGAAGAGACCTGCTTTCAGTTTTCATTTAATTCATATCAGATTAACTGGCAATAAATAATAAAAGAAAGTGGATTAAAATAGGTTTTATTAGAAAAGTGTTTTCATGCAGAAACGGTGGTTTCAGGTTTCAGATGATGATAATGCGCAGACATAAATATTGAGTCCAGGCAGATGTGATTTGAAATGTGCAGGTTTTTCACGTGTCTCAAGAAATCAGAATGTCGACATGTATGTGATTTAACCAGGTTTTATTTTTTTAATGTAGTATAAAAAAATTCTAATGAGCCCAATTTGGGTTTTCATTGGCCACAATCATCAAAAGTAACCTGTGAGTAATGAATCAATGTACAGTGGACGCCCACCTATTTAAAGTCCACTAGTTGTGTATTCTTCACTGCTTTTTGTTGGATTTCTCATTCAATAGTTAGCCATGCAGGGTATGGAGATGGGACCTTGTAGGTTTGTAAATGTGCTCTTAAATTAATAAAGATGGAACTAAAAATATTTACTCATAATTCCTAAAGATTTCCTAAAAACCAAATTAATAAAGTGTTGGAATAATTTTAGTTTTACATATTATAATTTATGAATTTTATTTAATTTCCACCACCATTTTGTAAAGAGCACAATTGTATTTAATATCAATATGTTAACTATGTTAAACAGGTCATGCTGACACGTTAAATCTTTCATACATCAAGTCTGAGCTTTTTGGAGTAATTAAAGGTGGACAGTTTTGACTAAAGGATATGTGGAACATAAAACTGATGCTTTATCACCTGGAGACACCTGGGACTGACTGAGTCTCAGTCATCACAGGCTTCAGTGTGCTGCCTGAGTTTCCTAGGAAGACGAGAATTAATTTGAGATTTAAAGGCAAATTTTTAAAAAATCCCATCAGATCTGACCTTTAATAACGTGAACCTCCACTAATGTGATGTTCTTATTTCTGTTTTCATACCATTAACTCATCTTGACATAATCCGTCCGCTGCTAACTGCAGCTTCTTTCTTCCCTTTTTCACTCCTGCTGAGAAAAACAGTCTTTCAGTCTTCAGATGCTTCCTCCTCCAGCTCTTCCCAGATCTCCTCCTCTTCTCCTTATTTCTCCATATGTCCTGAAGAACAGCTCCATCTCCCTCTGAAGGGTGGTGTTCCGGCGGTCTGCGTCTGCCTTGGCTCGCTCCATGTTTCTGATCTTGATCTCTGCCACGCTCTGGCTTCGCCTCTGCTGCTCCAGACTGAGTCGCAGAACGGCAACTTGCCGTTCGAGGGCGCCATTGCAGCGCTCCAACCTATAATCCATGAATAAATGACACGGAGTGACCAAAGTGTTGCACCTCTTCATTTACAGAGAATAGTGTTCAGATTTCCTAAACCTTTGTATATTTTTACATCTTAATTTTGTTGCAGCACCTCTGCATTAGCAGTGAGCTGGTTGCAGTTTTCTGACCGACTGCTGACTACCAATCTTTAAAAAGCCTGACCTGCCGACTGATTGGGGCCGATTCTGATATTTTCGTCTGAAATGTTGCTAAATATAGCAAGGACATCAGTGAGTTGGCAACAGTGGGGTAATTAGTGTTAACAGTAAACATGCATGTCCTGGTGAGTGGCTCTGTCAGTCAAATGTAGGGGTAAGGGTAAGTGTTAGGGGTCAGATTGAAATTGTATGAACCTTAGTAAAGTAATACCTCTCAATCCTGTTTTGGTACTCTGCCTTCTGCTGAGCCATCTGCTGCCTCAGCTTGGCCAGCAGAGAATGAGTGTCCCTCGACTCTAAATGAGACTCTTGAACCTGGAGATCCGGAGCCCCAGAGGGGAGGAAGACTTCTGAGCTCCCTGTGCTGAGAGGGCTGATGCTGATGACAGAGCAGGAAGCCCAGGAGCTCGGATGTTGCTTGGCACCATTGCCTTCAACTCCATTGTCTTCATGATCATCTTTATCACAGATTTCCTGTTCTCTTCTCTGATTCAGAGGCAACATTCTGGATCTCTTTGGTGGGATATCAGGACTACTGACCCCCAGTTCATCCTTGCTTTTATCTAATGGTAGAACTTCACAGGAAGACCATGAGGAAGAGGAGTCTCCTGCCATCCCCAGTTCTGCTTGATCTACCTCTGTTTCACACATTCCAACATTGATTCCTAGAGAATCTAAATCAAAGTTCTCAGTAGGAACATTCTCCAATGTGTGAGACAGAGAGGCTCTGTCCAGGTTGTCATAGACTGAGGGTGTACTGTCCTCCTGTGCTTGACTGCTCCCCCCACTGGCTGCTTCAGGAACCTCACCCTCTTCCTCTGCTCCTCTGCAGCTCCAGGAGGCAGAGGCTGCCTTTTCTTGGCGTTGCCATCCCATTGCCCCCTGATTTGAGCTTTCGGTCTGTAGCTGGGGGTTGGTTGTTGTGGCTTGAGCATTTGCAGAAGATGAACCCTGCCCAGAATGGTACTTGTAAAAATCTCCTTTGTGCCTCCCAGGGTGGTGGTTGATGGACTCACTGGAGGAAGGCAAGGGGTAGAAGCAGTTCTCTGGATGGGAGGAAGTGTAGCGATGGCCAAGGTGTTTCTTCTGACCAGAGAGCAAGTCTGATTTACCAGCAGCAGAGAAGATACAACTGCAGGGAAGAAACTTCAACAGTTATTAAAGACAATTCATACTGAAGTCGGATCTTTAATGTTAACTTGAACCTCAAAAGTGAGAAACTGCAAAAACACAAAATGTTAACAAGTATTTTTGGTCTAGTTTCCACTGCAAATATCTTGGTACCTTGAAATAAGACAGAACTAACTTACAATAAACTTTTCAGTACAAGATAGGAGCCTGTTTTAAGTCAATAATTCCTTTATATTGATGAAAAACTACCAGTTATAAGTGAAATAGTTTTCTCATATTATAAGTTTAAATCAAAATATCTTGTGCAAGTTTTCCTCTGCTTACAAGGTTTATAAAGATTCAGATTTCACTTTTCAGCAGGACCAGGTACCTGCCCACAGGCGGATGTTTAAAAAAGTGCTTTGATGGTCATGGTGGCGCTGTGGTTGGTTTTAAACTCATTTACTTAAATAAATTAACTTTTCCTTTGAATTCTATTTTTCAGATGCATCTATTATTCTCTACTTGTGTGAGAATGACTAATCGCCAACTGACTGTTGAATGCTTGAACCCCTGTGTTTTACCTAGAGTGGTCTGCATGTGCGGCTGGTTGTCCTGATTCACTTGAGTGGTCTGCAATAAGAGGCAAAGACAGCTGGCGAAGGCAGGGCGATGGCTGGAGATGGGGTTGCTTCAAAGGCGTTGCAGAAGGATGAGAGCAGGCAGAAGGAGGGAACTTGGCAAACAGAGATTTGTGTTGTCTGATCAGCTCCGACATGAGCACCTGGACCAGTTTTGTAGCTTGGAGACAGACAAGAAGAACTTATTGTCCAGAAGTCAAAGCTAGAAAATGTTGTTGCACTTGCTTAAGGTCATCTATCCTAAACATAAGCAGGAGCTGAAATATTTTTTATCAATTACTGGTTGTGAGATAGAATACCTCTCTTCTTAAGAATATATCCAGGTCTGGATCAAAACCTCCAACATGTCTAAAGAAAGTAAACTTATGTTTTTGGAAGATAATTCCAACAGGTAAAGCACTGAGCATTACCTCTAAACCCAGGAGTACCTCAGGTGCAAGTATCATGGTATGTAAAAATTTATGAAATTGTTGACCGTTTTGACCCAAAACCTGCAGGTGTAAGCTAGAAGACTGACAGTGAAGATGCTAAGCCTTTTTAAAACATCGCCAAGATTCCAAGAATATTTTTAATCAACAAAATAATGGCTTCAAGAAAAATAAAGTTTTGCAATCGACTCACGTCAATTCAGAACCTAATCTGACAGAAAACCTGCAGGGTCAATAGACAACCATGAGAGACAAAGTTTATCAGTGATGCTAATGTTTCCTGGCAACTGAGAAAAATGGAAAAATTATGTAAATGCATTAAGAGTTAGTCTGCAAAAAGTAAATTCATGATTTCTACAGACTTTCTTACCGATTATGCTTTTAATTTAGGAGTAAAAAAATATTGACATGTTCTAGAGCACTGAAAAACCTTTATGAAGTAGTAGTATTTTGAAATAAGCAAAAAATATTAAATAAACTGCTGCCAGTTTACCTCCCATGATGCTTTGTGGGTCTTCAGCTTTGGCTCGAAGGATGTTTGGTCCAAACACGGTTGCCAAGTTCTGGACGTTCATCTTGTTACTGCTGGAGCAGCTCTGAACCTCATTCAGAAACCTGCACACACACATCCGTTCCTCATGAGCTGCACAAACAGAGAAGCTGGTTCCAACTTTGAAACAATCTGCCTTGATTTAATCACCAAAAATGTCAAAACTAATGAAGTCAGACAGATCATACTGGCAGATAAAGTTGAGTAGGTTGAAGTTTGCGACAGGTAACTCATGAAGAAGATTCGTCAACTCCTCCAGACCCTGATGGAGGACATGGAGATAAAACAGAAAGAAGAAACCTTTCTAAAATAAAACACTCATTAAACCTCATGTAATCTGAGCAATGTGTTTTCACCAATAGTTGTGTTTTACATCAGTCTCTGTGGTGTGGTGCACTGAGTGATTACCACTGTACGGTCACTTAACAGCTTCTGACCGCAGAGCAGAAAGTCCTGGTAGTGGCTGTAGGGAACCAGAGGTTCTGGTAGCTGCCTGAGGTAGAGCTTCAGCAGTGATGCCACAGTGTGGACGTCTGTCCCGCTGCAGACAAAACACAACACACCAGATTCCTTACCTAAACAGCCAAGCCCCCCAACTCAAAGTTAACATTCACACTTCAAAGTGACTGCAAACAAATGTACAATTATACAACCATATATATCTTTGAATAGTAGAAGTAGAGCCTCTTGCATAACCAACAAGAATGCAGCAAGTGGTTTCTGGATAGTAACATTTGTCTTTTCCAGCAGCCATACTACATCGCATACAGCAGTAAATCCAGCTGACCAAATGTGCTGGAGCTCTGCTTTTGTTGCTAGATGACAGACTATTTGCCGCTGGAGTTGTTAGGTAATAAACTGAACTTCACTGGGGTTGCCAGGTGAGGGGGATCTTACATTCTGGAGGTTTTTGTAACAGGTTATTTTTCAATTACCAAAAACATTAAATTATTGACAAAAACACTTCTGGGTGTTTTATAAGTGCTTTAATATACTTTTTTGTTACGTTTATTAATCACTGAAGGGCTTACCAACATATATTCAAAACACATTGTCACAACAAAACAGTCTGGAACATCTTCCAGGTCCCTAAGGTGTTTGGTTCAGGTCTACTCTTCATTCTCAGAACCAGAATGAAATATTGAGAAGCAACATTCAGCTTTTATGCTTATCTAATCTGGAACAAACTTCCAGAAAACTGCAAAGATGCAGAAACACTTAGTTCCTTTATATCAAGGCTAAAAACTCACCTGCTTAGAGTTGGCTTTGACTAGTTGTAAGTGGCACATTAATCAACATATTCATGATTTTGATGTTGGCATTTGACAAAATGTAAAGTTTATTGCTAGTTTCATAATTGGTTACTGTATTGTAGTTTTATGATGTAAAGCACTTTGAACTGCTAATGTTGCTGAAATGTGCTATACAGATAAACTTGGCTTTACTTGACTTAAATGGGATCTGAAATCTGTATAAGAAAAAGAGAAGGAGCTGAACCTGTCAAAAGACGGCCTTTCACCAGAATCAAAAGCCTCCTGTAGCTCTTTCACCAGACTGGTGCGTCCAGGCTGGCGAAACAAGCCCACCTCATGCAGACCACGTTCCCGGATAAATGTCACACACTGCTCCACCACCAGAGGAACCAAACGCACTCCATACCGACGCTCATACAGCACCGTCTCATCCAGACGTTGCCCAAAAACCCCTGCAACAGAAACAGAAATCCCTCCCTTACGATAAATCCTAAAATCATACTGGAGTTCTCTGTTTTTGTTAAGCTTGTAAGAGTCAATAAATGTTTTGTGTTAGGGTCTCCAAGTAATACCAATGAACACATGAACCATTTTGTGTGTGTTAGTGAGTTCCCACCTGTGAAAGGGATCCAGACTCCCTTGTTAAGGCTCTTCAACCACTCGTCACCCTGACCAGCGCTGTTGGATAGGAAGAAATAGGAGCCTGGGCTGGCCAGCACATCTCTGTTACCTACATTTACACAATAATAAATCATATATTTTCACTTAAGATGTCATTCTCAGTGGGAATCATCATGAATCAATTCCTCCTGCCTGGGATTTAAGATTAGCCAGTATGCTAAAAAGAAATCTTTTTTTAAAACTTGCATTTTATTATATGTAGAAACTTTTTTAGGCATTATAGTGACAAGAAATTGTTTCAAAGGATAAAGTTGAACTGTTTCTGCTTTGAATCATGCTTAGTGGTAGCTTTCTGGCTAAGCTAATCAGCTAATGAAGCTAATATTCAGAATAAAATTCTCTTTAGATTGTCTCTACTTTTAAAGCCACAGCGGCTAATCACAAGTCAGTTTGTTATTCAACTGGTTAAAGAGCAAACTGTATTTTAGCATCAATAATTGGTATTTTAGCAGACTTGTGAAATATTGATTGGATTTTGTAACAGTTATAAGACCAAATATTTATTGATGAAGACACAGTTGAACTCTTTCTAGCCTTACTTAAACATGTCCTCAATGTTTAAGAAAGTTTCCAACTAATACCAACAGCTCAGTTCTCACTAATGAGCTGTTGTTTGTCACTATTTTCAGACTCTTAAATGTCATTGACGTTGCTTTTCATCTGTTCTTGAATCTTCTTGAAGGAATGATATACTGCTTTTGAGGTTTTTCAACCTACTTCGTGTTGTTAGACAGGTTCTACATAAATTATTTTTTGCTTCCACACGTCTGACAGCATTCAGGAAAGACTGTAGCTAGAGAAACTGAAGTATGCTTAAACACATTACATTCATGACTAACAAAGTTTGGGTTGGGTTGTTTTTTTTCACTTAGCTAATCATTATTTTAAAACTGCATTCTTTATTTACTTTGGTTATCTTTGTTGATCTGTAGGAAGCAAGAGCAGAACAGTAGATGTAACCTTCAATTGCCCATCATGCCATCACACACTTAAACACTGTCCTCTTTCTAGTTCCCATCATCCTTAGCTTTCTGTCCCTCTCAATGTCAATGTACACACACACACGCACACACACACACCCCCCACCCCCACACACACAACAGGACACACAAGACAAGAATCTCAAACTTCCTGACTCAGCATTTAACTGTTTTCCTTGGTGGATGACACATGCAACCAGAGTTTGAGAGAGATTGGGGGTTAACATGCCAACTGTGTGTATTTCTTACCTTTGTGGCCTGTACTGTCATATTTCCAAGACTTAAAGCAGCTGAGTCCCATGCTGCAAACACTTCTGGCCTGGTTGAAGATGCTCAACCCAAAGTGATGATGTACTTTACAGAGTTAAAGAGGAATTAATAAATAAAATAGGTCACAAATACATTTGACAAAAAAAAAAGAAATTCTGGATAGAAAGAGACGCACCATCAAGTTGATGCTGAACAATCATGGAACAATTAAATTGTAAAAAATTAGGAAGAAAACCAAAAGGTCTCTAACACGGATCCACAGACTGGTTTTAGAAGTTTGGAGTTTGAATCAAGACTTTTGCCAAACTTTCTGCCACTGAAAAAAGTCTCTTTTTCAAATTATGTTGTTTTCATCAACATTTTGATCTACAAATGTTTATCTTAGGGGAAAGTTCTCTGTATACAGGTTCTTCCATTAGTAATTCATGGCAATAATTAGGAATTTGATGAGAGGTTTCAAGTTAAAAAAAAAAAGCTTATCAAGAGGAGTTCTTGAAAAACAAGCATGGAAAATCTTGGAATAATCTTTGGTGGATATGATTTCTGTAGAAGTTATTGCATTGTTGAAAAGCTTTTATAGGTACAAATATGCTCACCCCTAAAATGTCCAAAGCAGTCTCTTCAAACCTAAATATGTTCATAAAAGGTTCTGTCAGAAACTGTGGAGAACTTGCCAATAAAAGGGTGTTGATCCTTGACAAGCAAACTGGAATGCTGAAAATCGGTTTGTTGTGTTGTGTCTTTTTTGCAAAATGGTTTTGGATTGTCATTTGTTCTCACATCCCAGTTAGATTCTCATTGATCCTGTAATTGTGGAGAACATATCTTTGCAGAAACTGCACCCAAAACCGTCCCAGATCCAACCTGAGCAGGAGAATTTTCACCTTGCTTCCTATCATTGGAGCGTCTTCTGACCGGCACGCTGTCTTTTCTCCTTGATGTTCCCCTTTAGCCTTTGACACCAGTGAATGGTCGGTAAATGCATCCTGAAGGAACTTTGTTCTTCCTCACCATCTCCAGAACACTTCATCCTCCACGGTGAAAAGACGCCATATTAGTATTCCTTCCTGCATCTCCTCTCCTCCCTTGTCCCCCTCTCTATGTCCTCTGCTTTATTACCTCTTTTACTGGACGTCCCGCACCATTTTCAAAGGACACTTCACACATCAGGATGTCCATGTCTTCGCCAGCCCCTCTTTTTCCTCTCTTCCTTCACGCCATTCCTTCCCTCTCCAGCTGTCCCTGTCTTTGTCCACGTCCAACTTCTGTCTCATTCCCACTACCGCCTTCTGTCTTTCTCTCCATTTCCCAGCAGTGTGTGTGCCCCTTGTTGCCCCCCTCCCCTTTTGCCTCATCAATAACCATGCTGTGTGTGTGTGTGCGTGAAGGCTGTGCATTAGGAAAATTGGATCTCTGCGACGCAGAGCTGTTTTACCAAAGTAATCACAGCTGATGGCAAGAGAGGGAGGGAGATGATCTGGCTGAAATTCTGCAGCGGCTGAAGTATGGCCGTTCACGGCACGAGCACACTCACTGTCACCATCATTCAAGTGGACATAAAAGCCAGAGGAGCCACTCAGCCAGGTCAACTTTTGAACTCAATTATAGTATGAACCTCCAGACAGTCCAATTCAATAAGACTGTTTGACTCAATGTACAATACAGTGTACAGTGAGTTGCAAAAATCGGGTTGCTTATCAATACAAGCAATCAAATATTAACAGCTGTTCAATCAAGAGATTAAATCAGCACAAAATCAATTGTGACTTCGCATCGACTCGTTGCTGTGGGGTTTCTTCTACAGAATTTCAGAGAAAATGTTGCTGGATACATTTCTTGAAATATTCATAAACAAGTGTAATATGGAGGCACATTAAATTTCTATTAAAATTGGATTTAGAATCATTAGATGATAACTGGTGACTGATGATATTTTATAAGAAAATATATTTGAATGTTTTTAATTTTTACCTAGAAATTTTATCCAAACATCAAAAATGTCATACGCACTCACACATTTTTCAAATAACTTTTAAATATTTGGCAGTTTTCCAATTATTCTGTGTTACCAATAGCCATTTAAAGTGTTGATGTCTAAGCATAATGTCAAAACAAATTCTGACCAAATAATTTTTTTTTTTTTTCAGCAGAATTGTTGTCATGCGATGTAATCTGTATTTTGAACCGGCAATAATTTGGACATCCCGAGACTTAAAAGGACCAATTCCCAACTGGGAAGATTGAATACAATCTCTGGAGTGTTTGTTTTGCATAATCATGAGGTGAAATTGCCTGTTTTAGTTTTTAGTTAGAAAAACGGAAGAGTTTGTGCTGCCGGTCAATCCTGGAGGAAAACAGCTTAGAGACTGCAAAGGAACTGAGAATGGGGTGAAGCAGGACGACTGCACTAAATATACAGCCAAAGCAGTGAAAGTCCAGGACTAAATCACAATATGTATGTGTGCCAAGAACTGAGAATTGATGTTAACAAATGTTCTCCATCCAATCAGTGAGCATGAACAATTTTACAAAGAAGCAGCAAAATAACTGAAATGTGCAAAGCTGGTAGGGCCATAAACCTCAGTGATTCTTGAGAATAGGGACAGAATGGGTTTAATTTTCCCATTTTTTTTATTATTATTATTTCTCAACCTTATGTATGCATATATGACAAATAATGTTTAGGAAATGTAAAGATGCTAAGGTGCAGGCTCCCAGTTGCAATTTTTTTTTTTTAATTACATTTTTAATCGACCTGACCCAGAACTTTGTCATCATCATCTGACAAAAATAAATATAAAATGATTTTTAAAATACCCTATTAGTGATATTTTCACTCATTTTACAGACAAATGCTTCTCAAGAAACAAAAGAAATATCATTTAAAACAAAAAACAACAAAAAGTCCATCTGACGGAGTTGACAGTGCATGACGGATACAAGTGAAGTAATGTATGGAAGCCCATTTCCGCCACTCTGTTAAAAAAATAAAAAAATAACTATCTCATGATCATGAGATACTATCTCATGATTATGAGATACTATCTCATGATCATGAGATACTCATAATAATGTAAAATACAGCTTTCTTCAAACTCCAAACATACCCTGAAAAAATTTAATCAGTTCCAATTTCTGAAAAAAATTAAACAACTCTCCCAGTGCTCTGATCTCATACTACATAATACATTTTTCTGTTTATTTCACTTTAAATTCCAGACCACTTTAAAGATAACATATTTATCAAAGGGATGCACATTAGTAATTTACGCTGAGGCAGTTATTTATTCAACCAGTGGTTAGTATGTTTCAATATTTAATGTGCTGCAGAAAGTGATGAAGACAGAGAGAGGCTTTTTATTAGGCTTAATGGTTGACTTCATGTGTGATTTATGATGCATAGTTTCATGCAGTGCTTTTTTTCCTCCAATCAAACTATTCAGAGCAGCTTTTTGGCAACAACCCAATTCTTGGAAATGCAGATGATGCACATTTAATGCTTTAGTGGCATTTCAAAGCTCATTCCAAATTTGGTAGTAAATTTGGATGGATCCACGTCCTGAAGTCTCCGATAAAACCACAAAGTGTCGGACAAAACGTCTGTAGTGAGGTTCATGTCTGAAACCAACCTTGGAAAGCTGCAGAATGAAATGATAAATGGAAAAATGCTTTTAAAGATACAAATATGGACAATATCCAAAGTGTCAAAGAACAGAAGATTGTTAGCTGAACAATTCATCCCTCCTCATTTCATTGCAACAACTATTGACACTCTGCTGTCTGAGTGCCAGCTGGTTTGTCTGATGACTAATTTCCAATCTCAGCTGAAAGCTTTGGCATCCACATGTCAATACAAATGAAAATTGATATCATATTCTTTGTAACAACGAGCTGTGTGATGGTGAAAATTGAATTTGTCACCTGCTTTCCTTTTCACCTCTAATATTTCCCAACACTGATTCACGTGGACATATTTCCTGCAAATTCAGGTCAGTTTATTTTTACTGTAAATTTTGCTTTTCTCAAACTTAAGCCATCTTAATATACTTTACGAAACAAAAAGGTTGAATTCATATCTATTTTTCCTGAATATTACAGCATAAGTTGGCATTTGCAACGACAGAAAAACAGAACCACAGAGTCAGGAGTACTTTCAAGAAAAAAGGAGAAAAAAATAGAGTTTACAGCAACAACAGTCTTTCCAAATACTTTGTCCTGGAAAGCGACACAGCAAAGGACACAAGCACTGAGTCAGGGGTGCTTTCTATTAAAGACACAGAAAAATTACTCCAAATAAATTGTGGCAATATCAGTGGTTCATTTTTTAAAAAATCTTTACAAAACAATGTTATATAAGGAGAATCCCACTTGGAGAAAAGATTAAGAAATTAGAATGAACCAAGTAAGTATTTTTTGCATTTGGATTTTTACTAAAATACTGTAGTACAATTATAAAGGGTTAAACTGCATAACATTTTGGCTGACCTGAACAGTAGCTGCGTGCTTAACAGTTATTGAATCTATGTAATATTTAGGTTTCCCTTCCTGACTGGAAGTAGTCATAATGCACCTGTACATTTACTTCAAGCGCTAGTTTTGCTTTCTAAAGTTAATGTATATAATCTTGGTGCTGTATAAATTACAAGAAGTTAAAATTAGCTACTTATCGCACACAGCAGATGTGATGTTTACATTTGTTTTAATAACTTCAGTCGCACTTGAGACTTGTTATAATACTGGTTTTAGTCTCTCCACAGCACAGACAAACTCCTCAGCAGAACCACAGTAATTTTGTTTCCTTGCTAGTTTGTTCACTAACTACTTCAGTTAGTGTTTTGGTCATAAATTTATTGTCAGATTTCAATTAGCTCCCAGTTGTAAAACTAAATATAGTTTATTAGAGCGTTTCTAGTAGAGACCTTTAAAAGTCGGCAGTAGGAAGTTTAATTAAAGGTCACATTAACCTAATTCTGTTTTGCAGTGCATGATTCCTGAAAATGGACTTTAACGCATGGGACCAAATCAAAGGTAGGAAAAAGTAAATGTGTGCGAAAATGTATTTATTTTAGGAGAAAATAGTCTCCAGAATAAATAAATCACATAAAGAGTAAGTAATATCTTTATGTTTGCTGCCAACTGGGACATTTTTGTATAAATATTTTTTAATTTTTTGGCCTAAAACCATCTTAGTGCTGCCCTCTTTTGGTTGCACACAGCTACTGCGATCAAATTTTCCTATTGGTTAGAATGGAAATTACAGCTTGGTTTATTTCAGCAACACAACAACTTTTTAATCTTGATTTAAAGGAACTCAGTGTTTCAGTTGTTTTGCAGTTTTCTTAAAAAACAAAAAAAACAAGTGATTCCAAAACTTTGAGGAAAATACAATGTTGACCGACACAATAAAAATAGTTTGAATGGCCTGTAGTTGTACAGTGCTTCATCTAATCCAGATGACGACAAAAGAAGGTGAGTGTCCAATTTGATCTGGTACAAAATAATACAATCACAGTTCCTGGCCAATGTCTGACCTCTTAACATGCCAGACAATGCTCAGCTTTGATCTCAGTCCCCCGGTTTTGTAACAGTTTTTCAAGAGCAATGGGCCAAACTATGGAGACACACTTCTGACCCAAGTCATATGGATTAAAATCCAGTTTAAAGTAACTCATATCTTCAATCTCTTTTTTTCAGTACTGATAAAGTAAACCTCACAATATTTCCTGATCATTTTGCATCATGAGTTCCAGATAAGCTTCAGTACACCGTGTTTTCTTCTGCTCCATGAAAGAAGAGCCCATGCAGTCCCGGGCCAGGGGTCACAGCAGGAGCAGCTATCTTTTCACCGCACTTGGCGGAGGATTTTACTGCCCTCGAAGGACACCGGAATGTCCGTGGCTTAGTTTTCTGTAGCTGGCTTGATATTTTACTGCACCACCATGAACACCATATCTGTGTCTCCCTGTTTGGCAGCCACACCTCATGGCAACAAGTGACTGCGTGGCTGCTGGGAGGAGGAGGAGGAGAAGGAGAAAGAGGAAGGTGAACAACATGAAGGAAAATGTTTCAAATAGACAGACGAGGAGAGACGAAGCAGACTGGAGAAAATCTCCAGAAGCGACATCAGGTAAGTAAGGAAATCCATTTCATTCTGAGATCAGGAAAACGATTCTGAAGCAGAACTAGGAGTCTTTTTCAAAAGCTTTCATCACTTCCTTGGGTTGAAATAGATCAGAGTAAATCAGAGTTTATTTAGGCTGTAAGCTAAATGAAATGATATCCTTTTAGAGGGAGAAGGGCAGTCAAATAGAAAAACTTAGCAAAAATAATAAGTACAGAAGTAAAGTTGTCTATTACAAATTGTGATGTTTGCGAAAACTTGAGCTTTAAGTCAAATCCGTAAAAAAATTTGAATCAAAGGAGCAGAACTGTTTTAAACTTTTAAAGAAATAATAATCCAACATCCACATTTAACAGTAAAACTGCTCAACAATAACAACAATAAATAAATATGTGGCTTTCTAATTTTTTGCACTGAGCTTTTGTGGGGAAAAGTATATCAAGTAAAAACTTTGTTAAAGAAGCAAAGGTTTAAGAATTACTAGGAAACTGTATAAAAAATATAGATTTGGCATTACAGGATTACTTTTGTTCTGACTAATTTATTCTGATACTTTGATTCACCTTTAAAAGGACAGCCAAAAAATATACTTAAACATTTATTTAAAAAATATATATTTATTGCAATATTTCATCAGAAATAATACTGTGGTTCTTCCAGACTTAACGGCTACATTTTCTTTTAATTTGGCAATCTATTTTTAAATTGCTCAACTTCACTGAGCTATAAATCATATTTACACTCTGTCACAATAATAATAAACTCCACACGTTCACATTTCTACTGGCATGAGCCACAAACTTGGCAAAAACGAATAATTGGAGACTTTCTGATCCCACTATTTGCTGCTTTGACTCTGAGCTTTACAGACGTTACTTTCTTGAGATTTTATTTGCATACTCATTTTATACATTTACTTGTATTTTCAATTTTGATGCATGCATTAAGAAAAGGACCTTTGCATTTCATTATATTTGAACTCCAGGGAACAGGAAGTCATGACTGACAGAAAGTCCTACCCTAAAAAAAAAGAGAATGGAGCTGCAACTTAAAAAATGTTAAATTTGTGACATGTAATCAAATTAAGTTTGTCAAGCTTACTTTACGTAGGTTTGTTTAACTTTGTTTAATAACATGACAACTTAATAAACTTAACATATTTACTTGGATAAACTTAATTTAATTACTTGTACCAAATTAACTCATTTTTTAAAAGTTGGGTCACTTGTTTTCTTTTCTTATTAGACACTTGGATTAATTTTAAAAAGTAAAGTAATAATGATGATATTTTATGGTTTGGGATGGGGTTTTTTTCACTGCTAAGTTAAAGGTGGGATTTATCTAAATTTTTCATTGTGAGATTTTCCTACTGCAATAAAAGATTTCTCTAGAATATACCAAGTGTTTTAGATGTCCGTTTCCCATCTTTGGCCTTATTTTTACTGAAAATAAACTGATTGAACTGCATCTTCCAGCATACTGAGCAACACTTCTACTTAATAACTTAATTAGTCTCTCAGTTATTCCTCATTATTTCACTTTATTTTATAATCAGCATTCATAAATTAGTTGAGTTGATCCTTTGCTTATTGTTCATTTCCTCCTTCTTGCTCAGTAGTTTAGTTGCATGTTTATAACTACATGTTGGTAGTTATAAACTACCAAAGTGCATTATATAAGCTATATTTTGACTGTAAGGCTAAAGTATTGTATTAATAAATTCTCAAACTTTGGAGAGAAGCTGTTAGTGTTTGGAGAATGTGTTTGGCTAATTATTCCTGATGATCAGGACTTTAACTTCACTAATAATTTTGATAATAATTCATCACTAATCATAATTATTAACAGTTACATAAGCCAAACATTGTTGGGAAACCAGGGAAACAACCTGCAACTTTACAGTCAGAAACTCAAGATGCATTTCAATAACAAAGATCATTTTCTGTAAGCAATAAGATACTGTGCTTAGATCCTTCTTGATATTTCAAAGGCGGTCACTAATTTCAGGAAAATGTGGAACTGACAACATCGGTCAGATTAGCAGGGATAATTGTTGGAAACCCGATCGCCTTTCACAGCTCAGACTCTTGTTAGGTTCCAGTCAAATACAGCTGTCGGGTATCGAGGCAAAACTTTTCTTTTGTGCGTCACAGTGGAGTTGGTCTGATTCCTGAAAAGTCAAACACTCTAATTTTAGCCATATCAGATGACCTGTGAAACAATAACACGGATGATATGGAATGGAGTTAAGGAGTTTTCCAAACCAGTTTCAGATTCAGATGCTCTATTTCTTTTGATCAACTTATCTCTCTCATTATACTGTCACGACATAGTGACAGATTTAATAAGTATGGATTTTATTTTTTAAGTTACATACTACAGGTTTAATCTTGAGAAATATTGAAAACTATGAATCACTTCTTTTCCACTTTATATGATGTGTTGGCACATCATATAAATCCCAATAAAATACGTGGTCACTTTCCTATAATAATGGCCCTAGTCAAAAATCAGGTTTGGTAAGAAGTGACAAAGACCATTATTTTAGGAAGGTGACAACACTGAGAGGATGGAGGGGTGTTCTCAAACTAACTTTGTGTAGCTGTAAAGAGTGAACCTGTTTACCTGCAGAAACAGAGCAAACATGAGTGTTTCTGTCCTGTAAAGTTGCTGCTGTTGGTGTTGACAGTCAGACTTCTAACTGCAGTCTTGTTCTGCTCATCAAGCTGTAAACAGAGTGACACCGAGCTCCTGGCGCCGGCTGGTGTCTTGTGAGCCTTGGAGGAACTAAAGTGAGTGACAAAAAATCCGACGTGTTGTCAGGAGGACTGAGTCTTCCTCGCTGCTGATTTACAGTAGAGGAGGGGCAGCTGGGCCGGCCTGGGCGTGAAGACCAAGACTTGTTTCCAGGAGAGGGAAGAGGACAAACCTTTCCAGGGAATGCACAACGCTCCTTCACGTTATCGTCTATAAAAAGCAAAGCTGCTCTGCACCTCAAAAAAACAAACAAAATAAAACATATTTAAAACACTTTACTATAAACCTATTTAAAAGTAAAACTGTTAAGCTGCCAGAAAGGACATTAAAGTAATGCAGGGGAGGTGAAGGAGGTGACGAAAAGCACAACATGGTGAAAGAAGCCTCTGCTCTGACCGGCATGTGTGCTATTTGTGGAAGAGGGATGGAGGAAGGCTTTAACTGCATGAAGATACAGTAGAAGCTCTGACAGGTGGAACAGTGATGGACCAGAGAGCGTTATCAGTCAATATGCTCTGTCTGGTGATACAGCCACATTCAGTGCAGTTTAATTCAACAGGATGCAACTAAAGTGAATGGAAAATGTTTAGTGTGAAATAAGAAAATGAAAGCTTAAATATGCACAGAAAATGAATAAATGAGAAAAAAGACAAATTTACAAAAAAAGTAAATATGACAATTTTACAATAAATCTTGTAATAAATTACATGTTACACTTAAGTTCTCATAAGTGGCCTCAGACATTTATACATGACATATAAGTGGTAAGATTGACATCAGGCTGCATTATGTCTGTTCTAGGAGGTCGATGTTTGAGTTTCCAGTCAGAAAAACAAAAGACATTTTCCATGAAGTCACTGAGAGAGTCAGAGATTACCAAGCAGATCTGCAGAAATAAAAGATTCATCAGCTGTTTGAAGGCTTGTATCTCATCAAAGCAGCAGCACATCTAACACTGTAAGATATTTATTCATGAATATGCTTTTCTGGAATCGAATGCACAAACTTTTAAAGAAATATGTTCTGAACTTATATGATTGTTAGTTATTGGGATCACAACAATCCTATTATTGCAGTAATTCTCTAAATTTCCCATCTAGAACCTTCTGAATCTGGACGTTTTCGAAGGGGATTCAGGATTTCAGAGTAATTTAATCAGACAAGCTTACCAGAACACATGAAGATTTCTTTCTGTTTTTCAGCTATTATTGAAGTTCTGACAGAAAAAGGAACAAAGTGGGACAAAGTTCTGGGTGTGAACAGCCGAGCTATGGGAAAAAATGATGACAATGATTCTTGGAGAGGTAAAGATTTTCTGTCTAAAAGTTAGTCTTGCAGTTTATTTTTTTTATAAGTTTGTTTCTAAGGTACAACACTTTGAACTATTTATGATATAATTCAGATTTAAATGGACATCTTAGCTGCAAAATCCCACCTGAGCAAAGAAGATTCAAGTGATTCAGAATTATTTGCCATAATTTATGCTACAAAACACGAGATGAGCTTAACTGTATGCCCTGAAGATGTAGTAACTCTTTCCAGTGTATTTAATGTAAAAAAAAAAAGAAAGACTTTTCTGTCTTCTTGTAGGAATGAGAAAGTTTAAATCAGACTCAAAGTCAGGAAGCTTCAAGAAGACCCAACAGCCCATCCTGGATGTCTCCAAATGGGTAAAATAAAGTTTGTTCAATCTAAAATCAAGAGTCAGAAATTTAACTGATTTTTAAAGGAAAGTATATAAATTCTGGCAGGCAACACAAGAAATGTACTTCTCAGCAGTTGGATTCTTTTTTCATAACAGTCAGTAACTTTTCTTTTTCAGTTGTACATCTTAAACTGAAACAAACTGAATAAAGGTTATAAACCGCTTCATTTGGGTTAAATTTTGTTCTTTGGTGACTTATAATAAATTTCCTTCTTGCTGCATTTACCCAGCAGTCTAAAGACACCTCAGTCCAACTTGAATCAGCGTCTTTCCATAACAGCAGTCCCATTGCTGCAGATGATGGACCAAAGGAAACTCAGCAAAGAGAGACCAGACAGAACGATGACGACGGAAACCTGGACTATCACATCGGCCTCGTGTTGGAAGACAGATGTATGTAGCACTGATTTTCACCTTTCAAACATTTCTTTTGTAGTTTTAATCTCATTAATGAACTCCAAATACAAAGCACACATGCATCCTGACCATGAACAGCATCATGATTTGGAGTAAAACGCCTCAAGATTTCCAGATATACGAAGGAAAACTCAAATTAGAAATAAATGGATGACATCTACATGCATTGGAGAGGAATACAATATATAATAGCTGTTGTGGAGAAACAAACTGAACTCAAGAAAAATATCAGCTTGGCATGCACAAGACAGACTGTTAAAATGAAAACTTCAAGAAAACAAAATAAACTAAAAATCTCTCTGGTTGTTCTTGCCAGATGAAATTTCTTCCACGCTGGGAGAAGGAGCTTTTGGGAAAGTAGTGGAGTGTATTGACAGATACAGGTAAGCATGCATGCTGATCAGGGCTCAACAGTAATCATCCAAACGCATCTTATTTAGTTGCTCTCACTTAGACCACAGCAGGAGAAATGAGCTCTTATATATTTCTGTCATTTTGTCTGTGTACACTTTCCACAGAGGTCAGCGTGTGGCTGTAAAAATTGTGAAGAAGTTTGAGAGTTTCTGTAAAGTTGCGAGATCAGAGATCACCGTGCTTGAGGAGATCAACAGCCTGGACGACGACAACAGATTGTGAGGAACTCACTTTGAACCAGTTTGTTTATTTTCTGTTTTAGAGTCAAACTAGGCACCGCAGGAAATGACTTTTAGACAGCTGAGTCCTTCAGTCATAAGGGTAGTTTAAGTCCTTGTGGATTCCTCTGTCCTGGTAGCCCTTGTGTGAGGATGTTGGACTGGTTCAAGCATAAATCCCACATCTGCATTGTTCTGGAGCGACTCGGTCCCAGCACCTTCAACTTCCTGCAACAAAACGACTTCGTCCCTTTCAGTGTGGAGCAGATCCGACACATAGCCTTCCAGATCTTCAGAGCGGTCAGCTGTAAGTTCACGTGGTGAATCCTGTAAATTTCTAACCCTGAATGTTGGCATGCTGAAGGTTGTGGATGTGACCTCTGAACAATGTACTGACTGTTGCTGGTTTTACAAATTGCAGTCGCATCGCTTCCCATAGCATGAATTTATGAGCGACCGTAAACATACGGTCGCTCATACGGATAGAGCGACCGTATGTTTTCTACGCTCCTTCACCCTTAGGTACCTTCCTTTTGGGAGGGTGGGGGGGGGGAACTGCCACCGATTTATGTTTTCTCTTCCACCTGAATAATATGTAGTTGCGCCCCTGCCCCTGCCTATTTGTGATTCAGTGTTTGCAGATTCTCTTCTTTGATTATTTTGATGTTTATTGAATGCTATAAATTTCAAACAAAATGACAGTAATACAATAAATCCTAAATGTTCAAGGAGTGGGTAGGAGTATAAACTGATGGAAACCAATCCCTTCTCCAACAACAAGAACATAATATCTCAAGAGAATTCATCATATTTAGCGTAGACTATTTCTAGTCTGAATTGTGTCATGTATGTGCATTGCCTGAATTCCACAGTAAGACCATTCCATAGCTTCACACCACAGACTGAACATAAACACTTCCTGTGATTCTGATCTTACAAACGTTGAATTTGCATTTTATTCACAGATTTTAAAGAAAATGTTTCAAAGGAAATGCAGGATCGAAAGCTAAATTACTTTAGCACAATGCTACTTGACATTGTGCTAAAGCAGGACATTTGCAAACCAGCCAATCCAGGAGCGCCATTTATTTTTTTTAGCGCTGATTGGCTGTATCTCTAAGACCGGAGATTGGGGAGACTGTAGACGTTAGCTTTTCCACATAAAATTGGTGTTTGAACTGTTAAAAGTGTTTTTTAGAGCAGGTCTAATGCATTTGCAGATGTTAGCTTACCAATGATAGCTGTTGTCTCTAATCCCCATGAATAACATGGTCATCTGCATGTCAGCTCTTAGTTAAATGTACAAATTTCTTGTCTTTTGAATGAAGTCTCACTTTGCACTTCTTAAGCAAAGCTAGAACAATTTGTGTTAGGATATATGCACACATTTTATTGTTTTCTGTTCAACAGTTCTGCACCGTAACAAGCTGACCCACACAGACCTGAAGCCTGAGAACATTCTGTTTGTCAGCTGTGACTGCGACAGGGAGTGCAGCCAACAGACGGTAAAGAGTTCCCTCAAAACACCACAACTGTAATATTAATTCAAAGTTTGACCTAGGTGTGACATTTAGGTCTGTGTGTGTGTGTGCCCACGCGCATGCGTGTGTGTGTACGTGTGTGTGTGTGTGTGTGTCAGAAGTGTAAGCACACAAAACCAAGGACTCTAGACATAAAGGTTGTGGATTTTGGCACCGCTACCTTTGACCACCAACACCATGAGACTCTGGTGTCGACGAGGCACTACAGAGCGCCAGAGGTCATACTGGGTATGCTCACACCTCAAATCCTTAATTAAAAACTAAATTATTTCAGGTGTGAGTATTTTTAAAAAGATCAAATAGTGTGTTTGTGTTCAGATCTGGGCTGGAACCAGTCATGTGACGTGTGGAGTCTGGGCTGCGTTCTCATCGAGTATTACCTCGGACGAACACTGTTCCCTGTAAAGAAGCACAAACACACACACTCAGGCATACTTCAAAACAGTGGAAAGTTTTATTCAAACATTTATCTGTATTATTTCAGAGTCATGACTGTGGAGAACATCTGGCCATGATGGAAAAGGTACTGGGACCGATTCCACCCCGTCTTCTGAAACAGACCAGGTCCAGTAGACATCCTGTCCAGAATGACACGGTCATTGTTTCTGCTGTATTTGAACATTTCATCCACTGACAAAAATGTTTTAAATGTTCAAAATCTGATTAATGATTTTAGGAGATCTTTTCAGCAATTTTGGGAAATCGCTGGACGTTTTTGTGCTATTTTATGCAGATGATAACTTTAACAAGAAAACAATAATCAAAATATAATAAGGACTGTATTGTCTGTAACTCTTGTTTTCTAACAGTTGCTAAGACCAGCAAACAGTATTCTCTTCATGTAATCATGCTAGCTGATGCACAAAAGCCCTCGCAGTGCATATTTTAACTGATGTCTGTCTATTATTGCTGTTGAATTACTACAAGCTATGTTTGTGTGACATGCAGGAAGAAGAAGTTTGTTAAAAATGAGCGTTTGAGCTGGAATGGTTCGAGTTCCTCTGAAGATGATATTGAGAAACACTGCCAGCCTCTGACGGTAAAACAAAGATTTATTTTTTGCCCCCGTTTAACCCAGTTACATACGACGCACAGATAGGCAGTTTTTGTAATTGTTCTAGGAAGAAATTTTCAATGAATATCTTATTAAACCGATAATGTTACAAAACAAAGTAGTTTAAGTAAGTAAAACCTTACTTATGTAGCACCTTTCAAGATAAATATCAGTGTTTCCAAAAACAGAGAGCAAAGATTTTATTAGTCTTGCTTTTTTGTTTTCGTTTTAACAAAGCAAGTAGAGCTATAAATCCTGGTATTATTTTGAATATTTGTATTTGTCACTCTTTAGCAGACTTGCTTAAGTAAATCTTCATCGGTTTTGCGATTTTGCATGAAATGAAGTAACAATAAGGTAACACTTGGTGTATGTGCATGATACATTTATTTGCGCATTTCTTGCCATGTTGAAAACAATCTGTGACAGTCTGGGTTTACTGGAAATCAGGTGTGACTATTAAAAATAAACTGAAATCTGTGATGTAATTTAAACATTCCCACAATGAGCGACAACATACTGTAACAAAAGTATGGCTCCATTTCTTGGCTGGATTCAGAACCAATTTTTTAACTAACACAGTAATTGCTTTGTTTAAAAAGATGTGCATGCATCAGCTTTAAATCCAAAAGAAGAAAAACAATCTTTGTTTATTATTTTTTTAGCAGTACATGAGAACAAACAATGAGGAGGAGAAGCAGCTGTTCGACCTGCTGAGCTGCATGCTGGAGTATGACGTCAGCAGGCGGATCACTCTGGAAGAAGCGCTGTGGCATCCATTCTTCTGCCCACTGAGAACACAGCATGAACCGCAGCAGCAACCAGAGCAGAAACCAGAGCAGCAACCGCAGCAGGAACCAGAGCAGGAACCGCAGCAACAACCAGAGCAGAAACCAGAGCAGCAACCAGAGCAGCAACCGCAGCAACAACTGGAGCAACAACCGGAGCAAAGCTAACGAGAACGCAGTCCTGGGCTACGACAATCAAGAAATGGTTGTTACAAGTGGTTTTGTTGTGTTTGTGAGAGCATTCCTGTTTGCATTGCCCCGCAGCTGTTCCACATTCATTTAATCAGCTGCACTTGTTCCTACTGAGCTCTACTGTCATATCACACACTAGCTGTGTTTCTTTTACAAATGTGCCCAAATCGTTGTCAATGAAAACAGCTTTTTTTTTAGTTTTGTTGTTCCCATTCAATAAGAAATGATTTCATGTTGTCTTTTTCATGTTTGTGCCAATGTTAACATCTGGTTGTTGATCATGTGGCTCGTATGATGTGAAAAAAGTGTTTCCATTGTAGTTTTATGAAATCAACCAATTTTGATACAGCCAAAAGGATTACCTCACCTTAGTGGCAAAACTTTTTTTAAAAAAAATCAAAAATCAAGTTTTTCAAAATTGCTGTGTTCCCATTAGACAAATTTATTTTCAAAATGTCAAACTGTGCAATTTTATGGTCAGTGGAAAAGCAGACAGTGTGTTGTTACCATACACCTTTCTTTCCTCACATCTTTCTAAACTACTCTTGTTTTCCCTCCAGTTTCATGAGTTTTGTCTCCTTATATTTCTGATTAAAATTAATTTTCACTGCGACACTGCCTACCTTTTGCTTGCTTTTGGGTTCTGCTAATCATCAAAAAACATAACTTTAAAGAAAACTGGCTAAACAGTGTCTAAAAGTTTTATGTATTTCGCTCTAACTCTGTCTGTCTGTATTAAAAAAATGGTGTGAAGTGCATCACTTAGTGACTATCACTTGAATTTAGATAATAAAATAAATTAACTTCTGAATTATATTCTGGCTAATTAAATGTTTTGTCTTTTGAGATGCAACTGCACCGTGATGAGAGAAACTGAAGGATGAAGGATGTAAAGAGAGGAAACTGTGGCGCCACCTGGTGGGAAAATAATGATAATTCTTTAACACGTTCATCCAACTCTTACGCACAAATCTTTTTACACACGCACAGATATTTTGAGACTATTTTCACTCCTTATGCTGGCGTCTACTTCCAGCAGGCATTTTCTAAGAGAAATGAAATGAAAATTATGTATGAATTAAACTTAATTTCATTTTTAAAAATGTTTTGCAAGTTTTAAGATCAGTTTCTTTAGAATATATAATTTATTATTTTGACAGAAAACATAGAACCGAAAACATGAGATATAGCAACACAATAGTAAGTTCATTATTTCTGTAACATAGCAAAACTATGATACTGTTTTTTTTTACTGTCTAAAATTACTGTAGTTGTCTAGCAATTTTTAGTGAGATCATGCAGTTATATTAGAAGTACTTATATTAATAATAGTAAAGTCAGGAAATACAGAAAATGATGCAACAGCAGATGCAGGAGATGGGCCAATCCAAACTAAATGTATTTAAAGTTTTAAACTGCAATGGCTGTTTAAGGGAAGCAGTTTGCAGAAAGCGAATTGTGGAGCTGCACCAGTCTGGTTCATCCTTGGAAACAATTTCTAGATGCTCAAAGGTGCCGCATTCATCTGTACAAAAAATTATATGCGAGTACAGACAAGATGGGAATATCCATCCAGTCAGGAGGAGACAGGTTCTCTCTCCCAGAAATGAACATATTTTGGTCTGAAATGTGTAAATCGATAGACGTTTATGGCAGGATGATCTGGTGCACTTCATGAAACAGATGGCATCCTGTGGAAAGAACATTATGTAGAATTATTGAAGCAACATCACAGGACATCCACCAGGAAGTTAAGGCTCATGTCCAAATGAGTCCAAATGGACAATTAACCTAAGCATACAGCCAAAGTGGTTGCAAAGTGGCTTAAAGACAACAGAGTCAATGCTTCAGCCATCACAAACCCCTGATCTCAGTTCTATAGAGATTGACCCAGTCGAATGGATCAGAACTCAGGCAAGCTATTGTTAGAAGCTTGAAGGAAACTCAAAACATTTGACGTGAGCTATGCAGAACAAAGGCAATGCTACCAAATACTGAGAAAATGCATGAAAACTTCTGATTTTGAAGATATTAATTCATGAAGCTGCAGCATCTTTTTTCGCTCATTATTGTGGCATTTAGGAAGTAGAAATCATTTTGGTAATTCTAACTGACCAAAAACAGGAGAAGTTTGGTCTGATTTGACTTCAAACAATGAGAAAAGAAAATGTGTTTTTGCTTGGTGAATGTTTACATCTGCTTTCAACTGCACACATTGTCCCATTTAAATATGTCTTACACTGAGAGGGCTTTTATATTTCATAAAATTGTATCAACAAATAAAAAATACCATATTCAATCCTGCAGAACTGATCGGTCCCACAGCGTATTAGTCCTGGGTAAATATCAGCCAGCCGGTTGTAGAAATCCATGACATCAACCAGTTAAAGTGTTTTGTTGATCCAGACTGCTGGCAGGTGAAGTGCGGGATAATTATTGTGGTTCAAGCAGCTGAGGAAGTTTCCATGAGCGAACGGTTATCCAGGTGGAAAATATTACACGCTCAACTGCAGCCTGCCAGATAAACTGGCCTGTTTTCTCTCTGATAGCGATCAGTTTAGATTACACAGACGTAATAAAGCGGGATGACACAAAGTGGGTCCCAGGCTGATGTTTGTGATCAGCTCTGCTTCAGTTCTCTCAGCCCATCACACACTGAGAAACAAAGACCATGCTAATTATAGAAAAATGGAAAGATACAGCTTTTGCTTTTGTTTAAAACAGCCTGATATTTGGTAATATTATTGAGGTAGCTGTGGAAGCTATAGAACAATATTTGTTGGCAAGTCCTTCAACCAGTGCTTTTTAAAGAAAAGCTAGTAAACATGAATAAAAGCAAGTCAAAGAAGCTGGTTCATTATAAAGGTACTTGGTAATGTGTATAGTCTTCATACCCTTTTGAACCTTTTCTAAATTAACCAAATTGCAACAACAATTTGTGTGACTTTGTGTGTGCACAGTTGTTAAATGAAAGGAAAACAATACGTTATTTCCGAAATATGAAAAAATATGAAAAGTACATCCTGCTTTAATTCAACCTCCTTGACACGGTAGTTCTACACCGAATGCAAGTCGGACTTTCATATTTTATATCAAAAATTTGTAAGCCATGTGTCAGTTATCTTCAAATTAACATCTATAAGCTATTTTGTGTTGAATTAACATATAAAATCCTGGCAAAATTCATGTGTCTGACTGTTTATTTTGATTTTTGAACTGTTCTGGTTGCTCTTTGGGTTCACTTTTACAGTTTAGCTACAGTCTTAATAAAAACTTATTGTAGTTCTTTGTCCGACGTGAGGAACACACATAAAATATCAAAACATTCATTCTCTATGCAAAACAATATTATTACTTTATTTTAGTAGTTTGGTGAAAGTGTATTTAATGTTTCCAACATGAATTTCTCCAAGAACAGTTAACAGTTGGACTTCAAAAAGAGTGCAAAATCAGACTAATCTAAGGAAGATGTTGCTTTCATTAAGGGAATCTGCTTATTCCCCACTACATAATTCATATAGCATAACATGCTTCTTTTCAAGGATGGTGTAATTTTAGTGTAAATTCACTTAGATTTCCCATTACCAGGTTTTCAGATTAAGCAAAAGTTAATTAAAGAAGATACACAAGCGATGTGAATTCCTCAGAAAATGTTTATTCTAAATCTTGTTCAGAGTTTTTATTCTTTCATGATCCTTGTTTCCACACCCACTCTTTTATGGAATTTCCTTAAGTTGAATGTAGGGAGAGTTTGGGATATGAGGCTAAGAGTTAGTGTGCACAAAGGGAAAATCAGGAGTTCCTCAGTGGGACGGGTCTGAGGCCCCTAGGGAATTACCCCGCTCGCCTGTCACAGCCGTTCACAATACTTCCTGCCCTCTACTACCACTGACCTCTGACCACTCATGTTCCATAAAGAGTGGCTCTTATTAGTCTTCTTCCAAACATGAGAAGTGTAAAAGTCAACTTATTGCTTGAGCAGTCCAAAATAATTTGTCCATAAAAGGAGATGAGGGTTTTGAATTCAGTTTTGAAGGTAATAAAATTAGATTAAAATATTCCACTTCTAAGTCCAAAATAACTAAGTATTTATGGTGGTGTGAAAAATTGCATGTTTGTGTTTCAGAACATTAAACCAATTTAAATATTTGCCGGAGACAACATAAGTAAAAACAAAATCCTTTTTTTAAAAGAAGGTGTTTGCTGTTATGGGAGAAAATAATACAAATCTACTTGGTCATCAATTTTCCACACCATTGCACAATAAAAAAGAAGTGATTAACAGGCTAAAGATTAAATTTAAGTGAAAGTTTTAATTCTCATGTGGTCTTTGTGATTCATCAGGACTGAGTTTTTTAGAGGCAATTGTTGTTATCATGAATCAATAGAAACTAATAATCCTCAGTGGTGTTCCACAAGGGTGAGTCCTTGGCGCTCTGGTTGTTACACTTTTATACTATGTTTTGTATCCTCAAATGATTAATCATTTGCTGATAATGCAGACATGCATTTCCTCTAGTGTTCCTCATTCTTTCACTAACTACCATTACTGATCTTAACTGTTTAACAAATTCCCATTTTTCAACTGCATAAGAACTGAAAGCATTACTTTTCTGTCATGTCAACCACATCTTTTTATTTGTTATATTAAAGTGTAAACTAACCCTCTGAGAATGAAATTCCTGTGACCCCAAGCGCTCAGGTAATTTTTTGTTGAATTGAAGGGACCTAAAAAGACTCAAGAACCTGATGAAGAAGACTGGTTCTGTTCTGGGGACTCCTTTAAACCCCCTGGAGATGAAGGTGTAAAGAAGGATTTCAAATAAAATCAAGAAAATTATAGACAAACTCCAACCAACCTCACCATGAAACTGTCATACAACAACAGAAGGTCAGAGGCTTCTTTATAGCTGCTGTAATACAGACTGCTACAGGAGATCCATTCTGCCCACATCCACACCAGCATCCAAAATTGCTCTTTGAAAAAAATTGTGTAGTATGAGTTACAAGAAAATTTAATTTCCCTTGGGGATCAATAAAGAATCTTTTAGACAAACTGAACTGAATTTGAATTAACCAGATAGAAAAAGACGTCTTGGGTTTCACTTTCTCTTTCAAGCATCTAGAGTCTGAAGGGAGTAAACTCTCTGGATAGGGTAGGGTGAGATTAAGTATAGTTAATTTTAGGTCGTTGGTGTAACATCTTACCTTCAGGTTGGATTTTGTGTATAGAATGAGAGTTCGGGCTGTGGTTGTCTGAACTTTTCAACTTGGACTAATCACAAAATTTTATTGTTTAAAATATCAAATGTTGAAACATTTATAGCCTTAGAATTGTCAGCTTGACACTAAATAGAGCATTTTGCACACTGTTCTGTTTGCACAAATTATCAAACATACTTTGAGACAATTTTAATTTATTTAAAAAGCAGCTGCCACTGTCCCAATAAAAACATTTTAGCACATCTACCACATATATACCACTAATCCTAAAGGAATGGTGGTGTATAATAATTTCCTTTGGCCCTTGAACATCCAGACAAACCGTTGAGGTGATCATGTTAGGGTTTTCCTGTTCAGCCCAAAATCAGATCCATGTCTTCCAGTTTCACTGCTTGTGCTTCTGCCTTAAAAATGTCCGCTTGCCAACCTGAGGTTCATTAAAACTGTGACACCTGCTGATGTCTGTTAGAGAAAACACACATGTACAGGTTACACACAACAGCTAATCAGATCTATTTTTCACTTTCTCGTCGAGAAGCTCCATTGGAATACTAACCAAAGAGTTGGTCACTTAATTAGTGCGTTTTAAATAT